AAAAAGAATCTTCTCATATGGGATATGATGGAAAAAATTCCCTGATTGAAATAGAGATATGAAGAGATTGAAGTAATTATTATTTCTCAATATGAATAAAACCCTATTTGTAGATAAAGTAATGATAGAGAGTTTTTTCATATGGAAATGTCAATTTGTTTTTTTCAAGAAAAAAGGATAATGTTTTTCATTTTAGTGAATGAAATAATTGAATAAATTTTTATTTGAAAGGAAGTGAATTAAAGTAAAGTAAAATCGAACAAAGGGACGTTTGTGGGTTGGGGTTTTATTTGTTGCTGAGAAATAGAAGTATTAATACTATCAGATATGAATGTCCCAGAGCCAGACTCATTTATTGAACTTTTTGATAGAGGACAATTTGGTGTTGATGGAGGTGTTGATATGTGCTGACCAAAATCAAACAATTCGTTATTAAGATTTTTATCGTTGGATTGGTCAGGAGTATTATTAGATTCTTCTAGTTTCTTTTCTTTTATGACAAGGTCTTCGTTTTCCAATTCGTCTGTTGAAGTGCTAACTAAATCAAAAGCAATTGTTGGTTGGGTTGAATGAGATTTTGCATTGGAAAAATCAAACAACTTAATTGACTTAGTATCAGTATTGTCATATCTTGGTGTAATTGAAGGGGTAGCATGTTGGGAATTTGATGGTGGTGTTGAAGCTACATTTTTTGATGATTTTGATTTTTGGGATAATATTTGTGATATATTGCCTAGTGCTGTACGATATTTTTTACTTAACAGTTGTTGATATTCTTCAGTGGTTCTATGTTTTGGTTGAGAATTTGATTCAATACATAATGTACAAATCATACGATTTACATCCCCTTTGATGTCACCAAGCATAATCCTAAAGCAAGACAAACACCGATAACAACAACAGTGGCATGGTAATGATCCTAACATACAACAAGGTGATTGTGAAAGGATAGTGCTATGACAATTAACACATTTGGTGTTGTAATAGCCATAACTTGATGGTGTTTCAAAAATAGGATTAGAGTTATAAGGAATGAGTAATGGACATAACTTTCTTATATTTTTTCCTTCAATAACTTGTTTTTCTCTTTCAGAGAAATACATGTCTGCCATTTGACTATTAAGGAATTCAAGAAAGAATGTCCTTCCTGTTTTGTCTGGGTTTGTTTTTGGATTAGTAAGATCAAAACCTTTCACTTTTTGGAGAGTTTTTTGGTTAACTTTTTCACGATATGTTGAGACATAAAAACCAAAGGAATATCTATAAAAGTCTAAGAGTAGAGATGAAATGGCAGAATCTGATGATTGTAATAGAACAGACTTTTTTTCAGTTTCCATACTTTTTTGTAACTTGTTTAATTGAGACCTTAATTGAACAGAACGGTCACTTGTTAATAAGAGTGGATGAGAAGGAAAAGAAAGAAATGTTGATGTATCTAAATTAAAAACATAAACATCATTAATTTCAACTTCTTCAACCATTTGAAGAAAAGTAGAATAGGTACAACCAATAATGAATGGCATTGGAGCAAATGCTAAAGACAACATATCAGGAGGAAGAATTGGAATAAGAACATGCTAGAAAAGATAAGAGTTAAAGAACAGTTATGAAAACTCTAAAACAAACCTGCCAAGTGAATGGATAAATAAGTCTTGAGAAGGTATGAACTGAAGAACTAAGTAACTGTAAAGACTCAGAAATAAAAATAAATTTCCTCTCCAGAAGAAGATGAGATAACATATCTACAAATAATGAAGCACCAAACATATTTAAAAATAAAGATGGAGTAATAAAATTAGGTTCAAATAAAGTGTCTTCTATACGTTTAATTGTGTATGTGAATTTTTTAGAATTTGGTATGTCATTAGTAATTGTCTGATTGATTTCAGGGAATTGTTTATTGAATAGATCAAGGAAAATATCATTTAAATACTTTGAATTAATGTTTTGACTAAGAAAGTCTAAGATATTACTAAACAACGTGAAAGAAGGATGTGATGAAATGATACAAAAACAATAAGACCGTTGATACACTTCTCTTTTACAATGACAATATCTCCTCCTCCCATCAAGTTCTGTTAATGTAAATGTAAATTTATCTTCTTTTTTAGATGAACTGCTGAGATCATGATCAGGAAATGTGAACGTACAAAGAGTTTTATCCAAAATCGTGTTGTCTGGTATTCTATTAGTTATATTAAACACACCTTCATTTCCATCAAATGAGAGTAAGTCATTTATTCTTATCAATACAATTTCATCAACTAGCATTCCATGTCTAAAAGGTAAACCAGTTTTTTCAGTCATTATCTATCTACAACAGATTTTATGTTTTCAAGTTTCTATACTTTTACAAAAATTCTTTTCATTTTTTACCATAAAATATTGTTATAAATAACTATATTAATAAAAAGACTAAACAAAAAAAAAACTTTAAAACAAACCAAAAAACAAAAAAAGGATTGAATGAGCATAAAAATTACAAAACGAGTGTTATACGGAAATGAATCAACACCATTGAAGAAGACTGTTTCTAACAATACTCACAACTGGACATTATTTATTCGACCATTCAATGAAGAAGATATAGAGTTATTTAATGTTATTGACTCAGTAACGTTTCATCTTCATGAATCATTCCAAAACCCACATCGACGTTTGTTTTTACTGTGTATGAGAAAATTAAAATATAACAATTTTTAGGGATTTCACAACCACCATATGAAATTACTGAACAAGGATGGGGTGAGTTTGAGGCTGTAATTGAAATTTCTTTCAAGTACAATTTAGGACAAATAACATTCAAACATTTTATTATTGTTTGTTTTATTTTCATTATTAATATAACATATTGTTGACATGTAGTTGTTTAACCAAGATAAAACAAAGAAGAGTGCTATTTCTCATGTGTGTTATGACCAATTTATATTCATCAATCCAAATGAAAGTGCTGTAAAAGCATTATCAACCAAACCAATTCCACCACCCAATTGGAAACAAACTCCAAAAGGAAACAATTTATTTAGTGATGAAAAAGAGGCACTCAAACGAGTTCAAACTAAATTGAATTCAACATTAGAAAAACTAGAAAAAGAGTATCATCAACAACTAAGTTCTTGTAGTGAACAATTAATTACAAAATAATTTATGTTTATTGGTCTAACTTTCATATGTATTAATGTTTTTTTCTTTTTAGTTAAATTAAAGTACTTAGAATAAAAGAAAAGGTCAATTTTTTTGAACAGATTTTTTTTTGTTTAAGAAAGAAAAAAAAATTAAAAAGAACTTAAAAAAATGAACATGTACTCACAACACTCATCATTTAGGTCTTCATCACCTGAAAACCATGAGCCATCTACCACAAACACATACGATTTATCATTTCATCCTGTTCATTTACAAAATTCATTTATTTCTCAACAGCGATATTCTCAAAGAATGGGATCTTTATATAAACGAAACCATCCATCAACTCCATTATTTTATAAATTGTCAAAGTCTGTACCTTCTCAAGATATTATAAGTCATAATGGGGTTTGTGTTGGTAATGATAATGAACTACCAATTGTTGCTATATTTCCTTGTGATTCAGCATCATTTATAACTGCATTCCCTGATGCTCAAGAAGTTCATCCAAATGGTCCAGTTAGAGGAATACCAATTCGTTGTGGAAGTATATGGAAAAAGGTAGAGAGATTAGATGAGTTAATGGAGCTTTCTAAGCCAAGAGATATTAATGATGCTGATTGGTGTAGATATGTTCATTTGTTTTGTATTTATTGTGGAAAAAGATATACCTCATTGTGGAGTCTTGAAAATGACTGTGGTGGTCATGACCATTCAAAAGAAGATGGAAGATGGAAAGAAATTGATATTAGTAATATTGAGAGAGCAAAAAAGGGATTTGATCAAATGAAATGTGTTGATGAAATAATGAATTCAGTAACAGAAGACAATACATTTGAAATAAATGAAAAAATAACAAAAGAACCAAATAAAGAAGGAGTTGTTGATTTCAACCAATTTTTAAATAATAATCCTGATGTACTAACAAAAACATTTGAATGTAAATTGTGTCATCAACAATTTACTGGACAAGACCGATTAAATCATTTTATGAAAGACCATCATGAAATTTATGATGATATTGTTGGTGTATTTTGGAAAAGAAATTTAAATGAAAAAGAGGATTGGCATTCATCTTTTTATCAAGACCGTCGGGAGAGAAGACGTAGTCCAAGAAGAGGATTTGAAAATAGAATAGAAAGAAGATGTGAAGGAAATGAGGGGTTGTTAGATGATATTAAAGCACCTCCAGCATCTTATTTAAGTTTTTTAGAAAAATTGAATTGATTGATTTAATATGAATTGTGTTTTTAAATATTTTTTTCAATAAATAAAGAGAATAAAAAGGGGAGAAAAAGAGTGTTATGTATTATTTTATAAATTTAAAATTAAAAAAATAAATTATTAAAGAACTTAAAAAAAAACACTTCATTATTAACAAGATGTCTGGAACATACGGTTTGTAGTTATTTTTTATGTTCTTGAAGATGAAAGAATGACTTTGTTAATCAAATAGAAAAACTTCCACCACGCACTGCTGAACGTAAAAAGGAAATTCAAGAGAAAAGACAAGTAAGTCAATTAAAACGAAGATTAAGAAAAACACGTCAAGGAGATAGAAACCAAAGAAGGCATTTATCTGACCGTATGAAACCACGTAGAAATAACCAATTTAATAAAGTTGATGATTTAAAAAGAAGACTAGATCGTTTAGATAGACTAGAGAGACTTCAAAGATTGGCATTGTTAGATGATATGGTTCAAAAAGAACGTGCTTTTGATCAACAAAGAAGAATTAGAAATGAAAGAAGATTCAGAGAAGATCCTCTTATTGAGGATTTATTAGCTCTACGACGTTACAGACAAAGAGCCTTTGAAAGAAGGAGACTTCCCTCCTCTCTTGCCCACAGTTCACGAAGACTTCTATCAAGAAGATTATTAGACTTGTACTGAGAAAAAAGTTTCATTGATTGCTTTTATTCAAATTTGTTTTTAATTTTTTCATTTAACCAGGTTATATTTTTTTTTCATAAATGAAAGAAATAATATAGCTTTGTTAAGATAATTGTATAACTGGTATTGTTCTGAACACTTTTATATTAACAATACCATTTAATGTCAATAGAGCTAAATTAATCTTATCAGGAATATAAAAGAACAAAGAATGGATTTTTGGATTAATTTATTTTGCAGTTATTCTAAAGTTCATTAATCATTCTGTAGTTGAAAATATCTATTTAAAAATTAACCAATGTATTTGTATTTGTTAGAAATCATAGCAAACATAATACTGATAGTTGTTTTATTGTTTAACTTGTTTCATAATGAAATTTTTATAAATCATTAAAACTATTTTTGATAAAAGAAGTATTGAAGTATAATTTCATTTTAATATTGACAACAAAGATTGTAACGTGCTGTTAGTAAATAAGAAAATTCATTAACAATGAAACTAGTTGTTTCTAATATATAGAATGAATGCAAATCCACTTTTAACAAAAATAAATAAAAGGGTATTAGTTATGATACCTATTCTTAGACAAACTTTTAAACCATTCAAGCCAAATTAAACAACCACCATAATATTTCAAATAATACATCTGTTTAAAGAAGAATTTAAAGTGTTGTAGTTATATTAGATTTATTTTAGTGTATTGTTTCAGATAAGATTTAGAGAAAGAGCCAACATCCAATATCCTTTCTTCTCATTAACTACTAATGAACATTAGTGTTAATAGAATATTTGATGTACTGAAAACAGATTAAATAATTTTTAGAATAACAACATCAACTAATTGGTCTTTAAATAAATAAATTTCGAAGAAAAGAAAATTACAAAAGGAAGAATATATCATTTGAATTTTCATAGAAACACGCAGCATTAAGATTGACATGTTAGGATTATAATATTATAACACTGAACTAACTTTTTTAAAATAGTAGAAAAAATCAAAAGAGCTAGTTCTAAAAATATATATGTGATATAAACTTACAATATTTAAAAATAAAATGGCGAATGAATGATAAAAACAAAAAAATAGAAACTTCATTATTCGAATAAAAATCCTTCCTTAAAAAAATATAACGAAAAAAATAGTTATGACTGACACTGAATAGTTAAAATAAAATCGGATTTTACTTCTAAATATTATAACTATTCTTTTATTGAAACGAAGTTCAGATTATTTTTATGTTATTATATCCAAATATATAAAAAGAAAGAATATTGGAACTAAACTTCATCTAAAAAAATAAAAAAGTACTAATATGGGACATCATACTTGTATTGTTTCTTCAATAAGTCCAATTAAAACACTATCAGCACCATTATTTTATAACCTTCAAATATATGAAATTCAAGAAATGGAAATTGAAGATGAAATATTAGATATATTGTGTAATCATGAAAGATACTCTGATGATGGGGATAGTTCAATTCTATCCGATCCAGAAGTCGTTGTTGAACGTTCACATAATCCAGGATTATGTTTATGATAAATTCTTAATAATGAAAATATAATTTATATTTAGCATGAAATAATAATAATAATAATTTATCTGTGTTTTTATTTGTATTTTAATTTCATTTTGAATTAACTACTTTTCTTGATAAAGTTATTTTTCGTATAATTATTGTTCTTCTTTCCTCAAATACTGAATGATGTTTTTAACTTCCTTTTTGTTCGACTTGAAAAGTATTTTAAAAATATAAAACATTTTTTTTATTTTTATTAATAAATTTTTGTTTTATATTACACAATAAAAAAGAATTATAAAAATAATAAAACGAAACTAATAAAAAAACCCTATTTCTACAAAAAAAAATAAAAAAGAAAGAAAAAAAATAAAAAGAAAGAAAAAAAATAGTAATTATTTGAAATGGGAAAAGAGGGAAAAGCTGGCAAAGAACGTTTAGATAAGTATTATCACTTAGCTAAACAATATGGTTATAGAGCTAGAAGTGCATTTAAACTTGTTCAAATGAATAAAAGATATGACTTTCTAAGTTCAGCACATATCTTAATTGATTTATGTGCAGCCCCTGGAGGGTGGTGTCAAGTAGCAACCAAAGAAATGCCAGTGGAATCCAAAATTTTTGGAGTAGATTTAGAGCCAATATTACCAATTCCAAGATGTACAACATATGTAGGGGATATTACAACTGGAATGTGTTTTGCTGAAATGAAAAAATTAATGAAAGGAGAACATGCCGATGTAGTGTTACATGATGGTTCACCAAACATGGGAAAATCTTGGATTCAAGATGCATACACTCAATCAGAATTATGTATTGCAGCATTAAAGTTTGCAGTAACATTTTTAAAAAAAGGAGGATGGTTTATATCAAAAGTCTTTAGGTCACAAGATTATTATGCTATTCTTTTTGTTTTTGAAAAATTCTTTAAGTCTGTTATTGCAACTAAACCTCCTGCATCTCGTAATACATCTGCTGAAGTTTATTTAGTTTGTAAAGATTTCTTAGCACCTTCTAAGTATGACCCTAATTTACTCGATCCAAAATTTGTTTTTGCTAAAGAAGAAGAAACCCAAGTACCTGATTTATTTAGTACTAAACGTCCTAAGCCTCAAGGTTATGATACTTCAAAAGCATTAGTTTATAATGTTGGTAATGCAAAAGAATTCTTACAAGCAGAAGACCCAAAAGCATGGTTAGCTACACACACTGCTATTCAATTTGATGAAGGACTACCTGTTACAGAAGATATTAAAGGATATGGGAGCGACATTAGAATGCTTGGGTCAGCTGAATTAAAGTTATTATTAAAATGGAGAGATATCATTGTCAAAAAAATCAAGAAAGAACAAGAAGAAGCAGATAAAATTAAAGCCGAAGAAGAAAAAATGAAAATTGAGGATAAGATATTAACTGAACAAGAAGAGCTCCAAAAGGAACTAGAAAGAGAGGAAGAAGAAGAAAGAGAAGAGGAAATAGCTAAAAATAAGAAAACAGCAAAACAAAAACGTGCAGAAGAAAAAAAGAAAAGAAAAGAGCAAAGAATTAAAGAGGGTGGAATGGATATCGCCAATTCAAGTGGATATGATGAGGTTGATCAACTATTTAGTATTGACGATTTAAAGAATCAACAAGATTTAGATAACTTCTTTAATATGACTAATCCTGTAGAATTAGAAGAGGAAGAAGAGCAAAGAAAAAAAGAAGAAGAAGAAAACGAAAAAAGAGCTGAGCAAGAAAGACTAGAACAAATGACATATGACCAACGCTTAGATGAACAATTCGAACGGGAGTATAAAGAATTCCTTGAGAGAAGAGGAAAAGTTAAGGTATTGGCTAAAGTTGGTGAAATGAAACGGAGTGTGATGGTTCAATCGAGCCTTAATGATGGAGACATTATCCGTCAAGCTGATCAAAAGCCAAGAGAAGAAGTTATTGAAGAGATTGATGATGTTGTACATCAAAAAGGAATATTATCTTCTGAAGGAAAAAACAATAAAGAAGATTTATGGTGGAGCAGAAATGGAATGGATGATATTTCTGTTCAAATGGGTATTTTAGAAGAGGTTTTAAAGAAAGACCAGGCTAAAGAAGAACAGTTAAAAGGAGAAGTGAAAAATGAGATTGATGATAAATATGAAGAAGAGGTTCAGGGAGAAGATCAGGTTATAAAAGAAGATAGTGATAAAGAAGAGAATGAAGTAGTTGTATCTGAGGATGGAGAAAGTGATGAATATGAAGAGACTGAAGATAGCAATAAGGATAATGAATCAAGTGAAGAGGATGATGAACTAAATTGGGGTCCTCATATGGGAAAAGAAAAACTTAGTCAAGCATTAATTGTTGCAGGAAGAATAGTAAAAGATCCCAAACAAAAGAAACGGTTATTAGAACAACATATTTCAAGATGGACATTACCAGAAGACGAAGACACACCAGCTTGGTTTAGGCATGAAGAAGAAGAACATAATAAATTAACATTACCAGAAACTAAAGAAGAAGTAGCTGCAATGAGAAGGAGATTAAGAGAAATTGATTCTGCTCCAATAAAGAAGGCATGGGAAGCAGAGGCTAGAAAGAAAAAGAAGTTACAAACAAGGATGAGAGCCCTTGAGCAACAAGCATCAAAAATTGAGGGAGATGGTGAAATGAATTCAAAAGAGCAGTTAAGAATTCTTACCAAAAAAGCAAAAAAACTTAACAAAAAATTCTCTACCCATGAAGGTGTTAGGTTTGTTAGTTCTAAGACAGGTAAGACAGTAGGAGGATCATCAGGAAGAATGAAATTAGTTGATCCAAGAATGAAAAAAGAATTAAGGGCTAAGAAACGAATTGAAAAAGGAAAAGCTAAGAAAGGAGGAAAAGGAAAGAAAAGTTTTGCTAAAAGAAGATAAAGACTAACAACAAATATTTAATTTTGATTGATTTTTTTTGGAATTACAATGAACTGAGACATGTTTTATTTATTGGTAATGAGAATGCCTAGAAGAGGAAACGGATGAAACAGAATCTAACCAGAAAGATAATCCATTATTATTTTCTGTAAAATGGCGACGTAAGTTTTTTTTTGTTAACGCCATTTTTACAGTAATTTGAATATTGGGAAATTCTTCAAATTCTTGAATAGGTAAATGAGGTGGATATTCTTTAAATGATTTGTTCATTTAAAAAGTAACAAATAAATAAATTCAATTTTTAAGATTACTTTCCTAAGGGTATCAGAATGAAAGACTATTGAAAAGATTCAATCTCATTGAAAAGCCTATAACAAGGAATAGATATTTATACTAGACATAATATTTTGTTGTAAAAAATGTTATTTTTATTAGACTTTGTATTTTATTTATTCAAGGTTAGGGTGTTTAAAGATTTAAATTCAGAAACTTATACACAACGTTAAAATAAATCAAATAATTGAGTCATCAATTATTATTTGGTTATGATGTTGTTTTGATGAAACAATACCAATTCAATACTG